ATTTGCTCTCCTAGTAAAATCACAGGCCCTGCATGCTCAAGGAACAGATTTTTCATTTCTCTGACGCTCTCTACCTAACATACACAGGCACCTTGGAGTTGAGGGTAAAGAGTGGAGAGGGATCCATTAGCACCTACAATCTTGGGCTTTCCAGGCCATCCTGTCCCCTAGCAACCCATGGCTCCCATATATCCCTGGAGAGTTGACCTCTCATTTCTCCCCTAGTTCTCAGGATAAGGGAGTGAAGAGAGGGAGGGAGCCCAAGCCCTTTACTTTCCTAGAAAGTCCTCTCATGTAAGTGTTCACATGTAATGTGCATTGAGGCAATGAGAGAGGACAAATGGGAAGTGAAGGCAGTTTGGGCTTCAGGAGGACAGAGTGCAGGGTGAGGGATGGAGACCATGACAACACTGCATTTCCCCTTGCAGCACTGCAGTAGACCTTCCCACAACATCTCATGTCACCCTCACCACTGGAGAAATGGAGGGCCTGAGCACACAGGGCAAACCACATCCCTGTGCTGTCTGCTTTACTGCTCCTCCTCCTGACCAGGCACAGGGAAGAGAAGCTGGAAAAGTCGGCATGTCCTGACTAGTGAAAATTTCATTTTCTATTTTGTGTTTCAAGGTCTCTGTCATCCAAAATTTCTCCAGTGGATGAGTCACTTTGAAAAGCAGGAACAAAAATTAAAGGAAATGTCTTAATTTAAACACCCCTGCCTACAGCAAACAATCTTTAAATTGAGGATAAATCTGATGCTTTACTGCTGAGACACAGCACAGTAACCATCTGGTTTGGGGGTCTGAATTTCTACTGAGTGGGTGCTCGGGAGAGCAGGGATTGTCCTTGGAAGTTCTAGTATCAGGTGCCTAGCACAAGGCCTGGCAGGTATTTTGTGGGAGGACAGGCTGGAAAATGGCAGAGCAGGTGGGTGGGAGACAGGTGCTGCATCAGGTGGGATAAGGTTTTTGCTGGTCCTGGGAGGGGCGCAGAGCCTAGCTCCCACTACAACCATCTATCTGGTTCTAGCCTGGTGCCTCATTCTGCCAAGCATTCCTTACAATAGCCTGCCCTCTCTGCCATGGTCTGGCTTCCTGCTTATATGTTTAGTCATACCCAGTCCCCTGGGACAGCTGTAACTTAATAAGCTGCAGAGTTGCCAGGGCTGCCTCTGTTCCTAGCACTTCAGTGGAGGAAAATGATATCGTTAATGGAGAAAATCTGGTTGTAATGTGGAGATTTGGGATGGACTTGATGACTGGCTGAAGATGGAAGCAGAGGGGACACAGTGAGAGTCTCTTGGGGCTGAACCTCAGATGGGAGCTGAGAGGGACAGTAGGACCCTCAGGAGGCTTCCAAGCCAAGACTGGGTTAGGGTCAGAGATCAGAGTGAAAACCTGAGAAGACATAGAAATGCTAGAAGGGAGAACCTGAATCATTGCAGCCAGTATGTTGTAAAGTGTGCTGGGGAAGGGAGAGGAGACAGAGGAGAGGAAGATGGCGGGGGCATGGTTGGCAGTAAGAAATAGAGGAGCTACAGAGAGGACACTGGCATCCAACAGACCAGGGACAGGAGCAGCAAGATGCATGTCAGAGCTGGTGAGCAGGATATGGCTTTTGCAGAATCCATGCTTGTGAGCAATACAGCCTAGTGAGGAATCTGAGATGATGGAATCTCGGCAGGGGTCAAATTTGGGTCAACTGAGCACCACAAAGCAGAATGAATCATCACGTGGTCCTGTTTTGCTCACCACCCTCTATGCTCAGCTGATGCACTTTGTCACTGTAAAGGTCGCCCACTCGGGAAAGGCCAGGGCATGGATGCAGTCAACGTTTGCATCAGCACCCTGGCTCTGTTTTGCCAAGCACTATATTCTGTCTCCCTGCTCCCTTCAAAGGTGACAAGGCCTGCGAATAGCTCCTAAGGTAGCCGTTCTGCTGAGTGTATCTATCACCACCCAACTCTCTGGCTGTGCACCATAGCTGGGTTTCAGGGCCTCCCACTGCTCCAGACTCATCAGAAGGCCGGCACAGCCCAGGCCTCTTAGGCCTTCAGCCCCCCCTGTGGGCTCAGCTAATCAGTCCTGATGGGTCTCCTGTTTCTCAGGCTAGATCCAAAGAGCCCACACATGGGAGAGAGCCTATGATTGCTGCATGAGAGAGAAGAGGCCTGCACAGGGAGACATGCCTGCACTTGGGCCTGCTCAGGGGGCCTGAATTTAGTCAAGTCATTGTTCCTCCCAGGTTCTGGGCTTATAAGGTACGTGGTGGTAACATTTGCCCTCCTCCTCACAGGACTCAGTGGAACTCTTGAATAAGAACAGAGATGTGAAAATACTGCGTAAGATACTGGATATATGCAGTTATTAATGTCATAAGCCAAACTTGCATGGCTCCTTATTCAACTGAACTATACAAGAGCTCCTTCCTAGAGCCCAGAATGAATGTTCTGTGAGAGGCACCTCTCACGCTGAAGGCATTTATGGGCTAGGGTAAGAGGCAAGGTAGATTCAAAGTGAAGTTATAGGAGGAACTATCACAAATGTACACAGAAATGTCTGAAATTGCTCTATGGCCCCCAGTCTCTGAGGATGGAGTGTCATGGCCTTAACTTGGGAAAACAGATGCTTGGGCTCTGCCCAGTGGTTCCCCAGCATAGCAGACACCGGGACCTTGGTTGGAGGTTGATGTCTCAGTCAAGGAGGGCTGGTGATGTGCTCAGTGTCCTAGGCCTTGTTTGGGGCAGGGAGAAGCAAGCTGGAAATAAAGAGCCCCTGCACTAGTCCAAGAACAGGGTCCCTCAGTCCCTTGTTAGGCCCTTAGATAGTAGGGACTAACTCCCTTATGGTCTAGGAATGGCCAAAATCCCAACAAAGAGCACCTAGGTAGAGCCCTACCCAGTGCTTTTCAGTCTCTCAGCTCTCACACTCGAGAAAGGCGAGGTAAGAGCACACTGTTCTGGCACACCCTGACAACAGCATAAAGAACAAGTCTGGGTGTGCAAATGATCTCCATCCCTCATTGTTTTCTCCCCATTATCTCCATAGTCATAGCTAGGCCCCTCGCTAATAAGCAGGAACCACTGCCCCACTGTTGGAGGGTGGGAGCGGGAACAGAGCAGGTGTTCTGAAGCCTTGAGCCAGTGAGCTGTTCTCAAAGTGGACAGTGCAGGAGTCTGCTGTCCGGAAAGGATGCCAGCCAATGGAGTTCATGATGAGGGGACTTATTGGAGGCAAGTCTCAGCTGGGCTATTTGCTAAACATCCTGGAAAAATAGCCCTACCTTCCTCCCCAGCAAACTTGGGATTCCCAGCCAAGTCCCCCACCCCCTTTCTAGGGACCCAGGGCCCAGTGCCAAGCAATGGACAGGGAGCAGCAACTCCCTGCAGCACATTCATGCCATATGTCCCCACGGTGGCAAAGACAATCACCTCCACCCAGTCTCTGATTGTCTCCAGCTTCATCTCCAGGCTTCTGGGACCCTCAGCCATAGCCATGGCCAGGTAATCTGCTTTTCCAATTAGCAATGAGAAAGCAGAAAGGTTTTTGAAGATGTTATTTTCCCACTGCTTAATCACCAGAATTATGATGGGCTCATGACAAAAGTAAGGATGTCAACCCTGGAATCACAGCCACATCAAAAATGGAAGAATCTTTACAGTCATTCATTGTACATCCTTCAATCCATAGACCAGAGGGGCAGACATGCCCAAGAACACATAGCTGGTAGGGACAGAGCCAATCCCAGAGGGAGCCCAATCTGTTTCCTGCCTCCTTCCCAGTCAAGGTCCCTCTTCCTACCTGTCCTGCAGGGTCATGGGATGAGATCTGCAAGGGCTGAGTAGTTAGCCGAGTGGTCAGAGGCTAGGATGGACTCCATCCAATGCTTCCCAGGAAACATGCTTCTCAAAGTTAGAGAATCCCTTGGGACTGGTGACAGTATCAAGACTAGAAGAGGAGCAAGCTGGAGCTACCATAACTCTGGCCAGGGCTGCCTAAGTCACTCTCTCACGAATTGTGATGTCACAGAGGAAGCACTGGCCTTGAGTCAGGAGATATAATCTGCTACCTGGACCTGCACGACCTCATAACTGTGTTATGGAATTTCTCTAAGCCTCAGTTTCTTCATATGGAATTTGAGCATACTATATCTATTTTCTAGATTCATTGTGAAGCTGAACAAGTGCCCAAATATGTAGTGTATAGTAGATGTGTGGCTCACAATAGGCACCCAATGACTGTTCACCTTCTCTTCTTGGTAAAAGGTATAAGTGGTTTTTATTGTATCTATGATCACCATCTGTAACCCCCCAAGTCAGTTTTAAAACTGTCTAGTGGCTTGGATCTAGCATACACACTTTTCATAACAGCCCTTTGCCATATACATATACGAAGACACAACAGACTGAATCTGTCACAAAATAAAATTTCAATCTTGGATTACACATGTCCTATGAATATAGTATTTATAGGTTCTCAGGAACAGTTTTGATTTATACTTATTTGTCATCCAAACTGTGACATATTTAGAATGAATTTGTTGTCAGGACAACAGGTATAAACCAGGAATACCCTGGGAAACCCATTAATATTCCTTGGGGCCTTGATCTCTTAAGGTAAAGGAGCCTTCTACCCCAACACTCCTGCCTGGGATGCTTATGACTCCTTTTAGTCTCTACCCTAGGATGAGCCTCCAAGTAGATTCTCTGTTCCCTCTCTGATCATCTTGGCACCTCATGCTTTCTTCTCTCTTCACAATTAACTGCTATTCTGTCATCACCTATTTGCTTTTCTGTCTCTTACACTTACCATGAGCAACCCCCATACCTAATGCTGCCTGGCATATAGTAGTTGCTCAATCAATGTATGTGGGAAGAAAAGGCAGATAAATGCCATAGCAAGAAAAGGAAAACTAGGCAGAGAGTAGGTGGTTAATGCAGTTCCTAGTGGAAGCTGGTAGAAGTCAGCTGAGCAATAAAAAGGAGAGCTGTTGTTACTTACTAGGCAAGCCAGAACGGTCTTCTTCAGCACTCTCCCCTCCACTTCCCATGCATATATCTCTGCAAATGGCACCTGGTGGTTGGTTAAGGAACTGACATCTTCGTGTCTGCAGGTGAAAGGCTGAGAGGACAGACAATGTTTTGTTGAAAGGCTTTCAGAGGGGAGTCTCTGCACCCAGAAGAAAGGCAATTCAGAACCCTGCTGGGACTGCTCCCTTCCTCTCCAGACAAAGCCCACCCCAGCCAAGGCATCTAGAGTGGGTCCTCTGTGTACTCTAGCAAGCTATCTAGGTGCCATCACTTGTCACTTGACAATGGAGAGGGATATTTCTCTATTTTCGAGCTCAGATGAGCTTTCAAAGACTCTATCTGGCTGTGATTGAGAAAGCCCTGGAGGGAGCCCCTTGCAAAGGCCTAAATTGGACACTAAAAACAGATAAAAGCCAATGGTTTAAAGGCTTTATGTGAGCTCCATTTGGGGAAAGGAATGAAACCAGGGATTTAGTTTGCCCTTTCTCATCAACACACTTTGGGCAGCTGTGGCCTGAAATTTTAAATTTTTTTGTGTCCCTGTTGCACGGATCCGAGTGGCCAATAAGCTGATGCTAGGGCAGAGCCCTTGATCTAAGACAGCCTCAAAGAGCTTACTCCCCAAGCCTCTCTACGCCTGGCCGCCAACTCTACTTGGATGGTCAGGTGCAGTGCTCAGCCCTTGAATGATTGAATGGATGATTCTAGCCCAGCTCCAGCCTGACAGCTGCCCCAGTGATTACTCAGGTCAAGGTTCGCAGCATTTCTTAGGGCCAGCCAGTCAAGTCTGCACCTGCCACTTCTGCCACCCAACGCCCTCATTTCTCCAGGCCCAGTAGGAGGAGGGGCATGTTAACTAAGAAGATATTGTTACTTGATAGGACATTGCCTGATAGGACATTGTCTTCTTACACACCACTGTTTTTCAAAGCTGCTACCCTGCAGCCATAAAACTTGGAATTTAGAAAGATGGAAAGGCCAAAATGAAAATTCCAAGAGGTTCTTGGTCCAACACACAATGTTCAGTACAACCTAAAGTTACTAGGGGCACACAACAATCTTGCAGCCCCATCTTTGGAATAAATACAGTGTAGCTATTCCAATCAAAAGTATAGGCCATCTATCACTTTACGAAAATATTACCATGCGGATAGAGGGGTAATGCTGGTCTTATTCCAACTCAGTGGTTCCCAACCTACATGTTAGAATTACCTAGAAGCATTTTAAAATCTCAACATCCAGGCTACAGCCAAGACATCAGAATCTCAGGAGTAAGACTCAGGCATCAACAGGTTTGAAAGATCCTTAGGTGATTTCAATGCACAGCCCAAGTGGAGGAGCACTGTTTTAATTGGCTATACTTACTACTGAACATTTGGGGGTTGGGAGTCAAGGGCTTCTCAAGACTCTTGCTACTCCTGCCTTCATTTCCATCCTTTAATTTAGACCTGAAGTGGGGGGGTGGGGAGAGCTAGAGAGCTGATCAGTGTTGAAGGTCAATTTAAGTATGCCACTGTTTCTTTTCCCCAAGCACAGTGAGCCTGACATTGGTATGGTCTGCATCAGGTTTTGCAGGGTATGGAAGCTGGCCACAGGAGTTCAGTTCTCTCAGATCTGAGAGAGATGTTGTAAGACATACAGGTCAACCATCCCTCCAGTTTTGCAAGTGAGGAGACAAAGGAGAGTGACCTAATTAGTGTTGCTGAGCAGATGTCTGATTCCTGAGACTTACCCTTTTTACAATAATGCCTATCTAAGGGGTTTCTGACTCTATGGATCTTCCAGCTCTGCAACCAGATGGTGGGGGCCTAGAACAACAAAATCTCTTGGCTTTTGGCGACCTCTCCTTGAATGCATTCCCAAGACAGAGAAGCGAGGACGAGGTGTGATAGTATTGAGTTGAACTAACCTATTCTTGAATTTTGGCTCTGCCATTTAGAAGCTCTGTGACCTTGAAGACCCTCTCAGCTTCTTTGAGCTTCTGTTCTACTCATCTCCAAGATGGGCAAACTAATAACAATTATACATGATTGTTGGGTAATGGTTAAGTGAGATAATGTATCTAAAGTACCTAAGAGTTTAGCAAAAGTTACTTTCCACCCCTCCATCATTCCACCTAGTCCTTTCCTAGAATTGAGATGATGCTTCCTACAGGCAGGATCACTGCCATCGGCCCCTGGAAGCTGCACTGGCCTGGGCCGGTGTAGTATGTATGTCCCCAAAGTGGATAGGATGGGAGCTCAAGGACCTAGTTCTTTACTCAAGAGAATCCTGTGGATTATAGTAGAAAGGGTGAGTTGGGTTCCTTTGGGTTTCATAGCAATGTTCCCTGGAGATCAGGCCTCTGAGTAGAAGGTTCAGAATTCCTGACTAGTGCCTCCAGCCCTAGATGTGGCATCCTCATAGCCACTGACCTAACTGACCTGGAATTAAATTAACTAATTTATCAATAAGTACCAGTTGAATGCCTACTCTGGACCAGGGATAAAGGAGTGGCAAGACAGATATGGTCACTGCCCTTGTGGAGTTTTCAGTGGAAGTCTGACATTAGTCAGGTAATTCCATTTCAAGGAGTACGTGCTATGATGGGGAAAAGAGAGAGAGCTTGGAAGCACAAATGAGGGGACCTTACCCAGATTTGTGGGAGGACAGGAAAACCTCCTGGAGGAGGTGACCATGAAGCTGAAAACTGAAGGATAAGCAGGAATTATCCATGAGAACTTCCAGAGTACCCAATGATGTTCTAGGAAAGGGGAAATACAAACATAAGTACTGAAGATCATAAGTGAGAAAAAACTTTATGTCTCTGATGATCTGACAAATTATTGAGAACTGTTAAGAGATGAGCAAGAGAAGAGCTAGATCATGAAACAGTCCAATGGTTCTCAAATTTGAGCATACATTAGAGTCACCAAGAAGGCTTGTTAAGCACAGACTGCTGGATCATCCACCCAGAATTTTGATTTAATATGCCTAGAGTGGAGCTTGAGAATTTGCCTTTCTCACAAGCTCCCATGTGATGCTGATCTGCTGGTCCCAGCACTATACTATTCTAGGCCATGTTAAGTAGTGAAGACATTAGAAGAGAACAATGAAGACTTTTCAGCTGAGAAGTAGTCAGATGTGCCTTTCAGAGATCTCATCTGGCTACAGTGCAAAGAATGATTGCTGTGAAGTGAGCGGGAGCCTGCTAGGAACTGCTGGAACCCCAAAATCTTCTGTTGCTCCTCATTGCATCAGGAGTGGCCCTAGCTCAGAAAGCTTTCTGCTCTGGTTTGAGAGAGAGCATGCTGTGGGAAGACAGCTTCCCGTAGGCTTCTTGTGTTTCTACATGTCTTGCTATTAACTGACTTTGTTCTGAACTATCTTTACAAGAATGTTTGCATAGCAAACAGCCTTGGAAGACAGACAGTGTCTCTCCAGAGCAAAGAAAAAGTTAGATTAGTGTCAGTATAATAAAGATAATATCTTAGAAAAAGGTGGTCAAAAAGTATACACTTTCAGTTATAAAATAAATAAGTATTAGGGATGTCATGTACGTGATGACTAGTTAACACTTCTGTATGATATGTAGAGAAGTTATTAAAGTAGATCCTAAGAGGTCTCATTACTAGAAGAAAATTTTTTTCTTTCCTTTTTATTGTATCTATATGAGATGATGGATATTAACTAAACCTATTGTGGTAATCATTTCATAATATATGTAAATCAAACCATTAGGCTATATATCTTAAACTTATACAGTGATGTATGTTAATTATTTCTCTATAAAACTGGGGCAAAGTTCAAGTAGGCTTACTTCCTGTTATAAAAGATTCAGGCTCCCTAAGTTTAGGATTCCTTTCTGGTAGAGCAACCAAAAGCCTGTGCAAGAGTTACCTGGCCTTCTTCCAGTCACCTTATCAGAACTGGGGTTTGAGGAACCATGCAAATACTGACATTCTCCCTATTATTATTGCTGTGAGTAATGACCTATGTCTCTGACCCAAAAGTCTTGTGTATTTTGCCAGCATGCAGGAAACTGTGGCAGGCTAACTTGTTAGCTTGTACCCCACTGTCTCCTTCAGTGGCCTCTCCTACTTCCTATTTCCTGTACATAAAACTACACTAGCCCAGCCTCCAATTCACATTCTGGAATCTCCAGCTGTCACAGACTCCTCTCCAGGATTTTGCAGCAGTATTTTCTGCACTCCATGTTCATCTGTAGATGGGCTTTCTTTCAAAGCTTTTTATCCTTAGGAATCCAGTGCTCAGGGACAGCCATGGCATTTTCATAATCCCACGTGGACCTGGGCTTTTTATAGATTGTTAGGTACTTTCATTATCCCTCATTGTATTTGACCTCCTCAACGACAGCGGGGAAGGGCTGAGAACTGAGAAGCTCAGACATTGAGACCTGTCATTAGCAGGGCAGGATAAGCTCAAAACTCCACAGTTGCTGCTCATTTTTTATGTTTTAATGTCATCCTGAGCCAAGAATGATTAGGTAGAGAAGATCTGGTGCAGGTCAAAAAAAAAAAAAATCCTACAGAGCCAAAGAGAAATGGTTCGGGAATTACATTAATAATCAAGAGCTGACTGCCTGTACGTTTAAACATTTCCAGACCTAGCTTTTACCCACAGCTGAGAACAAGAGCATGTGGTTGTAGGTAGTGGGTTTTTCCCTTTTAACAGTCCAGGAGAAGAAGCCACGCTTCCCAGGAGGTTGGGGGCAAGCTCACTCCAGGCAGCCCGCTTTGTTTTTGAACTGTAGATTGCCTGGTTTGAATGGAAAGTCAGAAGTCTAGCCCGGCTCCCTGCAGACCTATTTATGTAGAACTGGTCTCCTCTTTGAGACTGAATAAACATCAGAGACTACCCAGCCTGGCCTCAAAGCAGGCGCAACAACGTCAAGCTAAAGCTGAACGTTTGGAAAGCCCTGGAACCCTGAAGAGTCCCCACCCCCAGCCCATGTGCTCTAAGAATTACCTTTACATGCTTCCAGTCTGCATTCAGCCACATGAAACTTTTAGCACCTGCCTCCACCTCAGCTCCTGTTAAGTCTGTCCTTTCTTCTCCACCACTTCCATTTCAACTCTGAATAATCTAATATGAACATTCTCGTCATTATAGTGTTCAGAGGAAAAGAGAGATTTTTGTCCACAGAGAGGGAGTTGAGAAATTAATATAATATTTGTTCAGGATTGATCTCCAGCTGTAATCCCTGCTGTCAGAGAGACCCATCTGTTTAAAACTATCAGACACTAATTACCCAGAGCTTGAGCACAATAGTGGGATTGAGGAGAAATGTCCTGATACTCCCACACAAACTTGCAATTTAGCTTTCTTATTTATGAAGGAAGAAAAGTATTGTAGTGAAGACGGATCTCCCATCCACTTGACTGGGAGAGGTTCCCAGAAGACTAAACAGCAGGAAAGAAGCCTGAGGTATTTCTTGATCAAAGACAGCCAGGAATTGCATTCATCTGGTTATAAAGGCCACATTCATTCCAAATTATTTTCCTCTCATCTCTTTGACTCATTCTGGACTTCCCTCCAAACTAACTCTTTGGTGATAGTTAATAAAGATACCACCATCCTCTGGGTAAACCAGGGTTGAAACCACCAATTCATCTTTGAGCCTTCTCTTTCTTTCATCTTCCTGGGTAAGCAGGTGCTAGTCTTATGAAGTTTACTCCTACCACTTCTCTCACATCTGACCCTGCTCCTTTATCTTCAAGACTAACACCCAAGTACTTGAACAGTACTCCAACTCAGGTCTCTGTCTCCTTCTACTCTATGTTATGCCCCATAGATACTGTGGTTCCTCTGATAGAAAAGGAAGATGGGGAGGAGTGGTAATAGAGAATGAGGAGGAGCAGGAGGAGGGGAAAGATGGGGAAGGAGGAAGAAAGAAGAGAGGAAAATCAGCAGCAGTACAGCTAAGTAAGTCATTCACCTGTTCAAAAACCCTCAGCGGCCTCCTGGGCCACAGAATAATTGGATACTTAACACCTTCAAGCTTTGGCCTCAAGACTTTCTTCTTTCTATGTTTTTCATTTTATAAATGTATAATCTGAGTTAAGTGGACTGCTCTAGTCCATTCTTACTATATAAAAAACCTAACTGAGCTACCTATGCCCTTTCCTTCTTCAAGCCCTTTATTGCCACGGCCAAATCTCTCTCCCATCTTCTCTGACCCACTCTAGTGTTTTAATTAGGCCCTGCTTTACAGCACCTATAATTTGCCTAATATATGTATTCGTGTCCCTGCCATATTGGTCCTAATAGACTGAACCTGCTTCAAGTTGGTAACCAATATTCATGGTACTCCTGTTTTGTACCAGACACTGAGCTGGGCACTGGGAAATTACAATAAATGAAAGAGACATGGTTCTTTGATGAAGAGTACAGTCTGGTAGGAAGACAGACAATAAGTTTACAGTTAACTTAGCATTTGTGAAAGCATAGACTGCTACCAAGGAGGAGTTCTGGATGCTTATAGGGAGACATAAGTAGACTGGGGTTGAGGAGTGTCTCTATGAAGCAGTAATATTTAAGGTAAAGAACACTATAGTTTCTATTTTTGACCTGGAAGAAACAACGCGTGTTAAGGCCCTTCAGCGATCACATACAGGTTCTAGAAAACTAAAAGCAGTATAGAGGATAGATACTATGGGAGGTTTAAAAAAAAGGAGATGGGTATGGGGGCAGGGAAGCAAGACTGGAAACTAGTGACCTAGTTAGGAGCCTATCATAATAGTTCAAATGTGAGGTAGTAATGACCTAAACTAAGCTAGAGAGAAGGGGTTGAATTTCAGAGAATCACCAGAACTTAATTTCTATTTGGCTGTTGGTAGAAGAAGAGGAAGAATTCCTGGGTGGCTCTCAGGTTCCTGGATTCTGGGTAGATGGTAGTGCCCCTAACCATTAGAGAGTAAGGAGTAAGACCAAATGGGAGGTAGATCAGAAGAGAAGTTCCATTTTGGGTATACTGAGTCTGAGGTACTGGAGATGTTAGAAGGAAACTTCCAGCCCTTTCATAGGACCTACTGTTTCCGGAAGCTCAGAGCTCTGATGACCAGGTTCTTGTCTTTTTTCACGAGAAAGAATTCAAGGGCAAAATAAACAGCAAGCAGGAAAGTGCAAGGTTTATTAAAGAAAAAGTACACACTCAAGAGGGGAATGCGGGTGAACTCAGAGAGAGAATCACACAAGAATGTCTGGTTTATGAATTTTTGCTCCTAGAGGCAGAGCCCAGGAAAACGTGGTGCTGATGTAGCCTCGTTGTCTCCTCCCAGTAGGTGGGGAGTTCAGTTTCCCACTCTTTCTTCTTCATATGGTGTTTCTGGAACTGTTATGGTGTCAGGTACATGATGGGAGCTGTAGTATTTATAATATAGATGAGATTATAATGATATATTTAGTCAAAGGTCATGCCTTAACCAAAGATGGCATCAAAGCTGGAAAAGACTGGTTTGGGCTTATCCCCCATGCCAGGGCTAAAACAGGAAGAGGTCTGAAGAAAGGAAAAATTTCCCCAGCCATATCCTGGATGAGGAGGGGACAGCCTTGGGCTATCTATCTTGCCTCACTACCAGGGTGTTATTTGTAACAGCTTTATTGAAATATAGTTGACATATAAGCTGCACATATTTAAAATGTACAGTTTGATAAGTTTTAACACCTATATATACCTGTATCTGTGAAACCATCACCACAATCAAAATAGTGAACATACCCACAAT